TACGCCTAACTTAATCAAACTTTAATACTAAAGAGTCCTGTACCTATATTTAAAGTATGAAGAAATGTTTATTGAATATTAAATTTCATTTTTAAAGATTTTTACCTTTTCTTCGCCGATTAGGACTTCAACACACTTATATTCATCACAATGAACACTATTATCATCCCATTTTCACGGAAAATCTTCGAAAAAGCATAAATTTTTAACAAACACAACAAAAACAACATAAACATTGAAATGTGAAGTGAACTTGCATACGAGGGGCCCGCAACCACTTCGCTAGTCGCTAACCCACTCCTAAACAACTTCATGGCAAAGCCAGGCTTGTTGGCTCAATAGTAATTGCTATATAAATATTTCGTAGTTATATTTCATTATAGAATATTTTGCCATAGGTTAGAAAGAGAGAGATCGTCTTCTCGAAAGCCCCGTAAAAAGCCCACGCGAGTGAGGGAGACAACTAATTGCTCTATTAAAACTCACTTTATGACAGCAGCAGTATCGCCACAAAGTACCTTTGTATAAACGTATCGCTAAGGCAATACGAGGTCACCGGTCGACATGTGTCGAACAGTGGAGTGCGCGGGAAAATTGAAATAATTTGAAACAGTTTAGGAGTTATTTTATTAGTTGATATTATTGATTGATTCAGTTTTAATAAGGCAAGCCCGGCTTTTCGGCTTTAATGGAAGCTTCGCCACTGCAAACTCGTAATTCTCAATTCTTCTTCGGTACAATGTGAAGTGGTGATAACCAAGGGCTTTTGCTTGGACGGCATATTCCTTGCTCAATCATGTTTTCGAATTTCTTTCGAACTTGTTCGTATAGGTGTGATGCGATTGGACGTGCATGGCAATGAAGTGGTGGTCCATTGGTTTCGATGAAATGCTCAACGTCGTTCTTCGGTGTTAATTTCATTGAAGTTATTCTTGTGATTCCAGGGTATTCTTCGAGGATCTTGTGATACGATTGTTGAACATCTATGCTTCTTATTGTGGGCAGATTGGTTGCTTGGACGAAAGACTGAGATGCAAGATTGGTATTCCCGTCGATGATTCTTCTATTTTTGATGTCGACGATCAACTGGTGATTTTGAAGAAAATCAGCACCGATGATTGGTTTGCTGACTTTAGCGACAATAAATCTCCATTTGAATGGTCGGCGTAGGTTTAAATCCAGCTCCGTTATTTTTTCTCCATATGTAAGAATCATCGTATTGTTTGCTGCATAGAGTTGAAAATCCAGTGGCTTCAACTTCTGCCTTTGTTTCGGCGGTAACACTGAGATAGTCGCTCCGGTGTCGATAAGGAAAGTAAGCTTGCTTTTTTATCGGTGACGAAAAGACGGTAGGACTTTGCTGTTACGCTGGATCCCGTCGCATCGATCGGATCGCATCGGATCGAGCTTGATCGACTTCTACTTGCAGAGCGGTTGCGACGAAAAGGTGATCTTCGGTGTTGCTGATTGCGCTGGTTGTACTGTTGCTGGTAAAAGGTGTGATGCTGGGAAGCTTTGAGCGCGGCGACTTCGAATGATAACTTCCGAATTTCCTCGACAATTGATGTAGGTATATGTGTCGGATATCTTCGCTTCTCGCTCCATAATGACGGCTTGATAACACTGATTTTATATATACTGATGTCTTCCTTCTCGGTGTTTGTAACGGGATCTTCCTTCTAGGTATTCGTAACGGGATTTTCCTTCTCGGTGTTCGTAACGGGGTCACCACTGTAATAGTGGGGATAAGCGGTCCACTATTAACAGACTCCGAGTGGTCTAGTGGCGGAGAAATGAAACTACTACTTATGTGCAAACGACTGGTGTATCGAGTATTGAATATGGAATACGGAATATGGAATGAATTTTACGTCGACTCAGCCTATATTTATATGTCCGGCTACGTCGTTAGTTAACCAATAGTAACAATTTTTATTTGCCTAGCCAATTACAGTACATACATTATGACCAATAAAGATTATTAAAAATACAACTATTATGTACGTTCCATTTGCGGGCGTGAGACTCGTGTTATCTTCTCGTATCTACGTCGCTACGCTACGCTACGTCGCACGCGCGTAGTCGGCGAGCGGCGGCGGCGTGGGACACAGCTCCGGAACAGCAAGAAGAAGCGAGCTGCGGCGTTGAAGAAACGGCTTCCAAATGGTCGACGGATACATAACGATAGCGGCGTGTGAAGACGATGTGGCGCTGAATGATATTTGCGGCTGTTTCTTGTTTCTTTATTAGAACGTTAAATATATACGTCAAATTATCTCGCATCAATATGCAGCCCGCAGTAGTCGGGGATAGTTAGGAAATAAATGTTTTCTTCGCCTTCTGTGTTATGGTAGCAGCAGGGTATATATTATTTATTGCCGATTAGCCTGGCTGCTACACATACGATAAATTGGACAAGGACACATGCAGACCCGGAACTATTATTTGTAGACCATACATATATATTACCATAATTTTCTGTGCGGAATTCAAACCCATGGCCCTTTAGCGTCGGAATTTAATACTACGCTATAACGCCACTAGGCCGTCAAATTCGCGTTTTTCTTTATCAGCTCCTTACAATGCATTTTTGAACAAACGCCTCGTTAGTGGATTTTCCACAGTTGCTGCGCTTGGCATAACCTCACAGACAGTACATAACAGATGTGTTACTCATTTAACACTGCCACGCATCCCCAGTCTGTGTATAGGTATAGTAGTACTAAAACTCGAGCGCGCGTGAACTTTACTTATGTTTAGACGTGCACGTTGCGTTGGGACAAATGCCAACATTCGTGTGACTGTGACTTAGTTGCGAACACAGAAATCTAAATAATAAGACACTAGAAATTCCTTCTACTGTCTTTTAATATCGGAACGCGTGTCGCTGGTTTGCAGCTTTCACACATAGACAAACAATAAATACACAATTACGCCTACAGGTATCTCTAGCATTTATGCAACAAAGATTAAACTATAAAACTATTGCATTAAGGAATATTTTATAAAAACGTAAAATCTCAGGAGGCGTAGCCACTCGGTCCAAAATTAACGTGTGCGAAAAACAGAGAATGATATTGCGTGTTCACTCTCACTTGGGCATAGTGCAGCGCAACACACGTTTCGATAACTTTCTATTAAGCGTCATTGATCGTCCAGGAGTCTCATACCAAAATATAACTAATTAACTGAGTGTCTCAGTAATAGACGCTTTTAGTCTTAGCTTTAGCTTTTAGATGTTTTATAATTAGAGAAAAGTGGATATATGTAATAAAACGTTAAGGATAAGTATATCCATTCATCTTTAATATCCGGATCTTTTGGAAACCTGGAATAATAGCATTGTATTAAATAAACAGATGTTTAAATAAAATAAATACAACATTATACAAAGTGCAAACAAATATAAATGATATATTTATCATTTTTATTAGTTTTAAAGATCTGTAACTGATTTTCTATTGTTTGTTATTTTTCAGTTACCCGGCTTCTTACAGATCGAATTTAGTTTACTATCCTTACAATATAATAACTTATCCTTACAATATAAGAACTCATCCTTACAATATATTAAGACTGCATAAAAATTTATACACACATAAACACTCACGCCTTTTGGCGCTATCCCGACACACCTCTCTCGCCTCCTTCATATTTGCATAAAAATTTATCAAGTTATTTAAAAGTACAAACAAACAGATAATCGATGATAAACGGTTAACGATATAAAATATTTAAAAAGGAAAAAATGGAGAATGTGTAAATAAATATTTAACGAAAAATCAGATTTCATGCCCATTTCGGTAAAACTAGGTAAGCTAAACATAATAAATTATCGATATAAAATAGTAGTGTCGTCACTGAATCGCGCTCGTCTCCTGCGGCCTTGTTCTTGGAAATTTACGTACGCGTCAATATTGTTTCTTTGCCCATACTATAAATCCATCGCTGCTTTTAGCTCTCGTACTCGTAGACATGAACTAGCTTAACAATCAATGAACATTGAAATGTGAAATCAGTTACATTTTCGGAGACAATCGTCGAACTGGAAGTGAATAATTTTATATAAGTATATTTCATTAAAAACAACATTATTTAAAACACTAAGTACTTATTTATGAAATGTTATCCCTTTATTTGAAAATTTGCAAGTTGTGGAAGAATTTCCGCAGTTAGATATGCTTCAAAAGACCATTTTTACGTCTCTGCGTCCGAAACAACACTGGTGACCGAAACAAACGCTCCTCACGCGCTTGTGGCCTACGAGTTACATGTGCGGCGACAAGGTCACGCGCTTTTACGACTTCTATTGTCTTATTACCTATTTAGATTACAAAAACTCTAAAATAACACGACATATTTTGGAGAAATTTTCAAAGGTGCTGGAGCTGGTAGGTGGCGCTTTTGTCGATATCCTAAGGCCACCCGTGCGAAGCCTTGGCTGATCGATAATACACAATAAATAAAAAGGGTAAAAAGTATAGTTACAGAATGACAACGTATATTTGCGAGAGGGCTAAGCACGTCATTTCCGGGTATTGGACAGAGTATATCAAAAACTTGCCAAAAGGATTAGCGTGCGAAATAGACGAGCAGTCTCGCTAACTTAGTTGATATAAAAAATTATACATTTCGTCGTATGCTAGATAGCTTTTCTATAAAATCATGCGGCTCATAAAACTTATGACGTAATGTACTACAAATTGACTATCATTTTGGTGTCAACAAGTTCGCACATAAAGTCAACAAGGTCTGCTGGAAATCGCAACTTAATCGAAAATTGCGTCGATTCGACGTTTTGGGGTTATGGATAGTAAAATAAAGACGATATATCACTAGAAATTTATTATAACACAATATACTAAACAGGATACAATGTACTGTACACAAATCAAGGGTATTATTGTTAATAAAATGCGCATACTTTACTTTAGGAGTAAGTTTTTTTCAAACTTTATACACAAATTCATATTAAGTCTTTAATAATCTTATTAACAGCGTCAATACTTTGGTGTCTTGAAATTAGGTTCATCGCCTAACTGTGGAGCCTTTCTCTTCTGTATTATATTCTGGATCTATAAAATGAAAAATCATTCAATTAATTAATTTTATTTTGGTGTAATATTATTTTCACAGTTGTAAAGCAACTGTGAAAATAAAGTTTATACGAAATCTTTTTTTTAATTTTAAATATATTTCATCATACTACTTAGACGTACTCTAGATGATCATTTACCAAACAAATATTTAACGTATATTAGAAAATGACTATCGTTACAGCCTATTAAAGTCCACTGCAGAACATCCCTCCCTCGTAGATTGCCTCATAAGAGAAACTTGCCATAGTTCACACGCTTGGCAAGCGGGTTGGCAACCGCAGTTTTTTTTTAAACATTATTAAAAAGACACTGCTACTCATCTCCTGACTTGTTTCCCTCTGTCGCATTTTACAACACCCAAGGATATGGAGTAGTGGATATTCTTACACCGTCACTACACGGTAAAAATTAATCATTATAAGATTATATTTAACGTAATTATCTTCTTCTTCTTTGCCTTATAACCCTGTAAGTCTAATGCTGTGCTTGTAACGCTTAACAGATGGATTGGTGATGAAAAACCCAGACTTTTCGCAATTTTAACGTTACAACCAGGTATTTTAAACCCAGGTGTATACGAGAAATAACTTAATTATCTTCTTTTTCTTTGCCTTATAACCCTGTCAGTCTGATGCTGTGCTTGTAATGCTTAACATATGGATTGGTGATGAAAAAACCAGACTTTTCGCAATTTTGACGCTACAACCAGATTTTTTTTTCGTAGTCCCCTCTCACGACACCCAGGATGATGGATGGAATTTATAACGCCGCCATTACACGGCAAATCAGCTCAGGATATATTTTAATGCTTCATACCTGCATACATGAACTTTGCGTTGACACCAAAATAGTTACTTTGTATTACATTGCGTCATGTTTTATGAGCCGTATGCTATTATAGAAAAGCTGTTTATAGCATACGACGCAATGTACTACAAATTACCATTTCGATGACAACGAAGTTGGCGAATAAGTTTGCTGATTGCGTATAATTTCTACTGAATTCTACGAAGTCCAAATTAAATACTTTAACAGTTATTATTACAGTCCGTACGGATAAAGAATGGGATTAGAAATAACGACTCATCGAGCCTGTACCGTCAACATCCACAATACCAATTGCGAAAACCTGCTAATAACGGTAAATCATTACAACGTTATATTATTCGATTAATTGCAAATTTTCTATTGATGGAAAAATATTTGAAAAGGATTATATACACAAGTAGATACATTAATTTTAAAATAACATTAATAACCAGCGACCCGCTCTCGCTTCGTCGCCTTAAGTGGTATCTACGAGGGCTGCACTAAAAGTATCGGGAATGGAATATTTCCACTGTTCCTGTCATATTAAAATCTTTTTAATTAAAAACTCCTTGGTTTTAAAAATCGAATACCATTTATTTATTTAAAAAAAGATTATCGGTCTTGTCACAAGGTTTTGTCAAACTTATTTAGTCGTTGAAAAAATGGAATTGACTCGAGAAAATTCAAGAGCGATGATTTATTATGACTTTCGAAGTGGTTTAACGCAAAAACAGTGTGTTGACCGGATTATTTCTGCATTTGGTGATGAAGCCCCATCCAAAACCACAATTTATTGCTGGTTTGCTGAATATCAACGCGAGAAAACGTTGATGATGTGCGTTAGCTGATTGAGGAAGATCGACATGTGACATACCGCGAAATTCAGGCAATTTTAGACATTGGCATGAGTCAAATACAAATAATCTTGCATGAACAATTAGGTGTAAAAAAGTTATTTTCCCGATGGATACAGCATTCGCTCTGTGAAGAGCAAAAAGCGGCTCGCGTTACTTGGTGCGTCAGAACTCTCGAAAGATTCCACGCAGGATCCTCAAATGATGTATACAACATCGTATCAGGTGACGAATCCTGATATACGCGTACGAACCCGAAACAAAAAAACAGTCACGAGTTTGGGTGTTCGAAAATAAGTTCAGTGCCGCCCTCGTATTAATGTGGTGTTAATTAGATTTAAGATTCTCATTAAAGACCATCTTATCAATGTGATTACAATATAGTGATCAAGTGACAAATATGTATGTCCATTCAAATAAAAATGAAGACGAAATTTCACCAAGTGATAACAATTGCAAACATAAATTATATAATAAGGAATTACTAGCTTAAACAGTAAGGATCAGTTGAGCAACGTGTGATTTCTGTAACCATTCATACAAAAATCCATAGGTAAGTAATGCACTGATACAAGCAAAAAATACCAAAATACGTTATTTTTATAAAATCTAAATTTTTCGCGATAAAATTTAGTCTACGTCACTTCTGGTGTTACTCTCTATTTGTTTGTAAATTTTTATGACAATTGGTTCAGCCATTCTGAAGATTAGCTCAGACAAACGAAAATTTTAAAAATGGTTACTTATGTCTCAATGACATGTAAATATTTTATCCAAAAATATTAACAAACAAAATCTACAATAATTATGAAGAAACTTACAAAATAGAGAAACCAGATTTTCTTGTTCTTTATATCACGTCCATATATACGCATATATGCTTATCGGTTAAGTTTAACTCTTAATTTAATAATTTGGCCCGTCTTCAATATATCGCCAATTTGGTCGATGAACTCATAGGGCGTCCTTGACCATCTACGACTCACTTCTGCAGCATAAATTTGCTTTGTCACTTTTTCAAAATTCATTCTTTCTACGTTTAGATACGTAGGAAGAATGAATGTTTGAAAATTTTAAAAATGGTTACTTATGTCTCAATGGCATGTAAATATTTTATCAAAAAATATTAACAAACAAAATCTACAATAATTATGAAGAAACTCTTAGAACGCGTGGTAACTTACAAAATAGAGAAACTGGATTTATTTGTTCTTTAAATCGTTTTGTTATTATTGATTTCAATAACAAGTTGGACTGAAGTTATAGAATGTACGAAAAATGAATGTCGCCACGTATTTTTTTGCAGTCTTTACAGGCGGGTGTGAGTATAGATACAGACAGGGTGCAAGCAGGTGCTCAATTCGACTGTATGTTTTTTTACGTGTTACCTCAGAAATTTTTTCTGGGTGAACCGAATTCGATGATACCTTTTTAATTTGAAAATTGGTGCTTTTTTTGAAAGTTATCAGGTATTTAATTGACGTTGAATATATTGATGATGTTCTCATTTTATTTATATTGAAGTCGGTTGTACGAACTTTTTTATTTTACCACTTATCAATCTCATTCTTTAACCGCATGGGTAGTACACCTGATCAAGGGTTATCAAAAACAGAACATAAAATTGATGAATTTGAATTAAAATTGTAATTTAAATTTGATTGCTTTACATTAAATTAAAGTCTTTGCGTTATATCATGGTGCGGGTGACAGCTTACAGATTGACGTGTCTCGAATCGGAACAATGTTAAATCGATTTAAAAAAAGGCGATTAACGATACATAAAGCAAAGCAAAAATTAGAGATTAGCTATCGACATAAAAATTAAAACCGAAACATATAGTTATTTATAACCTACAATGCATGTAAAATTAAGTTATAGTTTACTACTAATTATGACATAATAGTTATGTTATATTTATTACGATTGGATTTCATTTTTTTATTATTTTTCTAAAATAAAAGTAGGCTGTGTTACTCCTTATAACATCAGCTGTCTGCCAGTGCCAGCTATAAGCCGCAACAAACAGACAGACAGACATTTTAAAAATTGTTTTTGTCTTTCTGTTAAAACCGTATATATTTTCATATGCATTCAGAAAAATTTGGAAATCTAATCAAAAAAATAATAAATTGGTATCTTGTAGCCATTTTGGCCGCCATGAGTTATGATTAAGTCTTTATGACACTATGTGCAATTTGCTTTATAATTATTTTTTTTTTTGCCTGAGCTGACCAACGAATAATTTTTCGAAGCCGATTTTTGATAGTCTGGTTGCTCGCTATGGCATGGCACATCACTATCTTAAGTGGGCGGTACCATCCATGAAGTACAACAATATCTGTATGACAGTTTATCTAAAAAAATACGAAACCTCATAGGCGTGAGCTGTCATTCGCACCATGCTACAACGCAAAGACTATAGAACTGTAACTTTTAATTATCTAATATATATATAACTAAAAATGATATCTAAAAACAAATTTACACAAGCATTAGTCCTAATAAAAAGTATTAATATCCAACCTGTTGCCACTCTCTGTCTAACTCGGCCTTCTCACTTTTGTCTTTTGTCTTTCTCGTTTTGCGGCCATCTTGTGTCTTAACTCCATATTGAAAAGCGGCCTTCGGTAGCGCTTCCTTGCTGCTCATATATGCAGAATATTCTTCTTGTGTGTCAAAGTCCCAGCGACCTGTTGATTAAACAACAAAAACGAGTATAAGAATTGTACATAGGTAGTTTTAAGCACTTTTCCATAAACATAGTAATAATTCCCTGTTAGTCCATTGTTGAAAATGGGTCTCTCCCGCAGTAGGGCAGATCTATACATATAAACATAACATAATATACACACTCATACCTGTCACACAGAGGGGTTAGCAGAGACTACAGACTTCCATTTGCCCCGATCCTGACACACGTCTCTCGCTTCCTCCATATTCATATACCTATGCATATATCCTCGTCGGTTAAGGGTACTCCTAATTTGGCCCATTTTCAATATATTGTCAATTTGGTCGATAAACTTTCGCCTAGGACGTCCCTATCCGACTCTTCCATTCACTTCCGCAAAATAAATTTGACTTGTCAGTATTTTCTACGGTAATCTCATATGACTGGAGAGAGACCAGTGGCAGGACTGGTTTACGTGCTTCCCGTTGTACGGGAAGCACAAGTAAATTTATTAGAACAATGTATTATAGTTCGCCCGTTCAGAGAATGCGTTCCTGACACGTCGCGATTGAACTAACGACGTAACTTTGTAATGGCGTTGCAGTTACGATAAAAATATTTTTGCTGGTTGTTTACCGTTTTAACAATTGATGAGCATTAAAACAACATTATTATATCAATAATCAATGAATGTTATAATTTTGTGCCAAACTGAGTGTCAAATAACTTGGTAAACATATTTTTCTAAATCTATACTGCGCTATTAGAAGGTTATGTCAGCGCTTTATATTTGTAGTGCTGTGCTAACAATAACAGGCAATAACAGTATCGTAATCTGTTCTTATACAGTTATATTTTATAAAATAATACGTTTTTTTTCTTTTTAAGAATTTGTAAAATAATGGACTATAAGATAACTTTTATTAAATATAAAAATAAAACTACGACCAAACCGAACGCGCGAAAAAAGTAGCATTTTTACATTTAGGTTGAAAATGGTAACCCCAAATGGCGTTATGGGCCGCCATTTTGTGACGCTAAAACAGTCGTCTGTTGTCGTTTCGTGCGCATAGACCACGGCAGCGCCTATAAATACACATTAGCACCGAAACATCCAGAATATTCAAGTAAATACGCGCACCAATCGACGAGGCGCCGAAAGTTCGAGTGTCTGCTTCTAGAAGCTTAGTTCTTCGTTTCGATACCAGATGGCGCTGTCGATTGAAAGATTAGTGATGTCATTTTCTGGAAAGCTCCCCTCGCTTTCCAGAAAATGATGAATTTCCCTGACACTAGATGGCGCTAGGGCCGGGTACATGACGTCGACTTAGACGCGCAACAGTATCATTGCCAATATAACGCGATTGAGCTAATCTGGGCTCAAATAAAAGGTTACGTCGCCCGCCACAATACTTCCCCGCCATTCAGCACGAAAAAGATGATGACCCTATTAAAAGAATCCTGCGGGGAAGTCACAAGAGATGACTTGGAAAAGGTTGCTGAGAAGACTAAAAACCTTATTGTGTAACATTTTGACCGAGATATCAGGATTGATTCTGTTATTGATAATAATATAATTATACATGTAGGCGAAGATGATGATGAAGACACCTCAAGCGAATCCGAGTCTGATTAATATTCTGTACGTACTCAATTCAATGTACTTTATTGCATAGAAATACAGATTGTAACTTTGTAACAAAGAATAAATAAAACAATTTTATTATATTAATATTACCTTTTTTGGTTTCCACTTAAATTACTAAAATATAAATTTTAAATGATTCCGCCAATTTAAAACGGAAATAATCTTAAAAATAACGCGGCGGTTCATTTTGGAGGAACGGTAACGCACTCAGTGATATGTTGTGCCCATCACTCAGGCCCGGTCAACTCTGTATGGACAGAATGAAATGCCTACGGGGGCTGAATTTTATTATTGCCATTTGTCAGATAAATGTCTTGTTTTATAATTAATAAGATTTTTCTAAAGATAAATTACACTCAAAAATTTTGAATACAGAAATAATAATCCATAGGAAGATAACTATGCCTGTCGTATTTTTCTACATTATTATATTAGCATATCCTTGACAGTAAAAGAAAAATAAATGTTTTCTTTTTGTTTTGATTTTCAATGAGTAGAAAATTACATTTTTTACTGGTAGCACCAAAATATCTAAATCTAATATGGCGCCTCCGTATAAATTATACTTATTCATGATTGGTTGTTATGTTTGTTTTGCTTGTGTCTTTTCCTAAGATTTTGCAAGTTTATGATGTTGAGTTGAGATTAATGTCCTTCGTTTATATGATGTGCAATGTGTTAGTCAATGATTCGCAGTGAAATACGAAATAGTGACTAAAAACTACGCTGCAATCGCGGATAAGAAAATAGAAAAAGTGTTCTAAGTGCAACAGCTTACTAACCATTGACAACATTAAATTATTTAGGTTTCCGAAACCCTCAGTAAAGTATATTTTGCGGTACGTATACAATATACATATACACTATTTAATAAGTTCTAACCTTAAAGCAAATCTCTTGTCCAATTTACTTCTCTTTACCCATTTAAAACAAATTATTAGTTTGTAAACCATTGGACCTACTTTGATAATATTCGTATTTAATAATTATATCTTTTGTTTTCAGCTGTAAATTGTGGGCGAAATATTATATTCCTTCCCAAGAGCAGTATACTACTTTAGCTTTACAGACAAAGCTACATAATAAGCCCAGAATGCTTGTGAAAAACATTTTCATGATGGTTAATTTAATGATGCAACCAAGAAAAAGCTCTTAAGAACTGCAGTCCCATGTGATGTAAGTAAAGTGTATAATGTATATGGTAATATGGTATGTATATAGTTTTCTTTAAGGATTACTCAGATATTTTATATGGGGATTACTATATTCAGGAGTGGACTTTGATAGACCGCAATGAAAATGATGATGATTATTCATATGACCATCATCTGGATCGAACATGGATGGACAGACCACATACAGTAGTTTGAATCCTGTTAATGCTTTCAAGTTATTTATAATAATTGGACTGACAAGGCATCCAAAGGATTGAAGTCTATAAAGTTAGCACAAGCCTTTCCTTACATTATTAAAAGTGCAACACACTGCATATTATTTTTAACGATCAAATATTTTTTTTAAAACAACAACAAACCTTAAGAAAGTTCAGGTATCACAATCTATGAATAATTACATTTCGTCCTAAACCATCAAATTTAAAGGCACAACTTGTACAACACAGTAGAAATACATGCATCAAATGGTTCTCAAACAATAGATAAACTTCTTTTCACATAGTTATTGTATTTACTATCTTATTTTGTTATATTAATTGTAATAGTAGTATTAAAGAGCAAGTTGGATGAACAAGATCCATTAATTTATTTTGTATTGGTAGAAGGGTAACGTAGTGCCGTGAGTACGGACTGGTTTATACTGGTCTATGAAAGTAATGTCAGTGAATATAATGTTTATTTAATTTTACATAATAATTTTATGATACTATAATTTATTTCAGTTTTTATTTATTTCCAGACTAACAAAGTGTATTCCCATTTTATTTTGTGGAATCACAAGCTGGCCCCTCGCAAATTATTGCTGCAAAACTACAAGCAGGATCTTCAAAAAGGACAACGTTATATCCACTGAAGAACAACCACAAACATCAAAGCATAACAGATAATGTTGAACCTGAAAAAGAAAGTACTCTATATGAAAATTTTTAAAATGAAATAAGGAATATTTTTGAATATTTTTGTAATCTAATATTTAATATGTTTTATAATCTTGAATTAAATTTATTCTATTTATAAGCTCATTCAATACTTAGTATATTGCATATAATATAGAGACAAAATTTTTAGTGCCAATTCAGGGAAATTTTATATGTGGTAGAGCCACGCTGCAGTTATATTAGAAGTATAGTTGTAGCACGAATGGGTCGGCTCGACCGGGGAAGGACCACGCTCTCACAGAATACCAGCGTGAAATAGTAGCTTAATGCTGCTGTGTTTCGTATGGTGAGTGTAGAGAACCGGAGACCCTTTTTACTGGAAACGAGGCATTACATCTTAGTCCTCACGGGTGACAACGCATCTGCATTTTGATTCGTAATTGAGGATAGATGTAGATGTCTATGAGCCACAGCATCCACTTACCATCAGGTGGACTGTGTGCTCGTTTGTCACCCTATCCTATAAAAAAATAGAGAACCAAATATTATTTTGCACTTGTGTGTACGAGCTTATTTATTAATTAACTTGTTTTTGATTAAAATATTGATATTTGAGTTATTGTAGACATTCTGTGATTTGTGTTTGTGAAAATTATCAATTAATCAATGATTGTAAATCTTATATATATTGTTTACTTAAGTAATTGAAATGTTGTAATCAATATTGATTTCCTTTTCATGTTTAAACCCATCAAATGTCTTTATAGAAAGAACTAAGCTGCTGGAGAAATTTTGTCTAAGTTATGTGTTTTTTTTATTATTATTTGTATTTTTATTTTGAATAAATAAATAGAAATTTTGTAATTTTTGTTCTTTTATTTAGCGCTGGGGTAGGCAACCCAAAAATACCTCAAATAAAAAAAAACCAAAAAAGACCACGTTCAAATTTTCCCGCCACACGAGAAGTGCAGGAGGCTGACGGTAGATGCTAGTGGTTACATATCGCATTTCTTAAAATTTTGTATGAAGTTGTCGTTCTTCTCCGATAGGAGTAATAGTGTTCTGTGCCATCACTAGTCTTGACTAACTGATAGGTGTCAGGAACGCATTCTCTGAACGGCCGAACTATAGATTTTATAATATTCCCAAGTTTTTTTTATACTTTGAAATAGTCATCCGTTTCTGAGGTTTGTTCAAAATTTTAAGTTTTACTTTATTGCGAAGTAGGTTTAAAATCAATCACTCGATTTGGTTAAAATAAACAAACGCGGAAGTGAGTTACATAACATAAAATAAACATAAAAACACTCACGCCTTTCACCCAGAGGGGTAGGCAGAGACTACAGACTTCCTTTCCCTCTCGTCTCCTTCACATCCATACACCTACGCATACATGCTCGTCGGTTAAGGGTACTCCTAATTTGGCCCGTTTTCAATAAATCGCCAATTTGGTCGATAAATTTTCGCCTAGGACGTCCCTTTCCGACTATGCCATTCACTTCTGCAACATAAATTTTCTTTGTAATTTTTTCCTCATTAATTCTTTCCACATGACCAAACCACCGAAGCATTCCTTTCTTAATCCTGGTCACAACATCATCTCGCAAACCAAGTGTGAGAATATCCACTCCTCCATATCATTTCGTGGGTATTGATATGACAGAGGGAAATAAATTAGGATATGGGCAGCAGCATCTTCCTAATAATGCATAAAAAAACTGTGATTGTTGACTCGCTTTGCCAAGTCTGGCCTAATTAACAGAGGATATATAAGGACCACGACTGTACATTGGCTTCTCCTGTAGTAGGGAGAATATGCGTTAATCGTTACGCCTAGCAGGTGGATTGATGATAGCAGTACATATTTTTAACGCCGCTGCCGGTTGTCGGTTTGGCTATTTTACATGGGTATTTAAAGTTGTTCTTATAAAACTTTCTCTATCTCTACTTATGAGGGAGGGCTATGTTCACCAGTGAACTTTTAACGCCTGTAACTGTAAGTATAAACAAGTGAAATTTAAAAATAATAGCAGCTCCGATTAGGAGCTTTATTCAAAATTTCAAGTTTACAGCCTTCGATCAACAATACCAACTAGATGTCGGGTCGGCGCAAGAAATCCATCTTAGTAAATAAGAGCGCACATGAGACTTGAGCTCTTGCACGTGAGAGTGTAGCTCGCAAGGCAATAACGGGAAAAAGAACTTTATTTGTTATAACTTAAGGTTGATTTCACACTAAATGCTATTTAATGTATGTCTTTTCAAAGTTTATATTCATGCGGAAAATCAATAATCGGGTCTGACCGATGGGTCCCTTCTTGTTGCCGGCGTCCATCTTGGTGTAGTCGACCTCGTCGTCGGAGTCGTCGATGGCGTCATCCATCTCGCGCAGGCCCGGGTAGCACTCGGCGTAGCCCTCGGGCTCGGCCGCCAGCCGCGACAGCAGCGCCGCCGACCGCGACTCGCGCTCGGCGCCGCGCTCCGCTCGCTCGCCCCGCTCCCCGCGCTCCCCGCGCACCACTCCTGCACGAACAGATACAATGAGGTAGGGCCACCAGAGCGCAGCTGCTTAGAAACGACGTGAAATATTTAACAAATTACATGTGGAACAAGTAAATTTTTTAGAAAACTGTAGAGATTAATGTTTCTTTTTTAAATGTTAGATATACTTTATATTAATTATATTGAAAATTACTAAATCAAACTACGGATATACCTAAAAGTAGACGCATTAAAAAAATTAAACATGTGAAAATAATTAAATAACACGCTAGAAACTAAAAAGCTTATAATTAAATCGCAACTTTTTAATGATGACAACACTGTGTGAACATCCGTGAAACAAATATGTTGACCTTGGATCCAGTAGTAACTAGCGACATCTGTTGAACGTAAAATTATTAGCCCTCAATTAAATACATTTTGCCCAACGATAGATTACTAATGGCGAAATTAATAATGGCGAAGCCTCCATAGAAGCCGAAAAGCCGGGCTTGCCTTATTAAAACTGAATCAATCAATAATATCAACTAATAAAATAACTCGTAAACTCTTTCAAACTATTTCAAATTTCCCGCGCACTCCACTGTTCGACACATGTCGACCGATAACCTCGTATTGCCTTAGCGATACTGCTACTGTCATAAAAAATGTGTTTTAATAGAGCGATTCGTTGTCTCTCTCGCTCGCGTAGGCTTTTACGGTGCTTTCGAGAAGACGATTGCTCTCTTTCTAACCTATGGCAAAATATTCCATAATGAATAATAACTACGATTGTATATACAGGGCGTTAGTGTAAACATCGTTGTCCTTGAAACCAGTGGTTTGGTTTCACTTATAGAACGTAAATTCAATGAATTTAAAAAAAAAACCCTATTCTCTTTCATAAAATTCAAAAAGTTTCTGTCCGACACCGTCCGTAAATTCATGGATACCCTATGCGCCCGAGTGACGTAATCACTGTAAAGATCATCGCCCGCGCTAGCTACCTACACAACATTCAACATAAAAACACAATAGGTACACATAACCTGTGATGTAACTTTTTCTTCATATTTTCATCCTAGCTTAGGACAGGCAAAAATCGAGGACTTAACCAGGAAAAATTGAGATTTTACTAAAAAAAAATGTTGTTTTTCATTGAATTTACGTTCTATAAGTGAAACCAAACCACCGGTTTCAAGGACAACGGTGTTTACACTAACAGCCTGTATACAGCAATTAGTATAGAGATTTAAAGCCAGGCTTTAGGAATTAATGTTGTCAAAAACGGAGGCGCGCGGGCAATACGTTTGCAAGTTCATTTCACACTTCAATGTTTGTTTACTCTGTGTGTTTAGCTTAAGCGGTTTATAAAATATATAAAATTTATGCTTTTTTTTAAAGATTTTTAGTGAAAATGGAGGATAATAGTGTTTCTTGTGATGAATTGAAGTGTGTTAAAGTGCTAATCGGAGAGGAAAATGTAAAATCTTTAAACTTTGTTGAAATAATACACAAGGTCAAGAGTGTATTTCAGACTTATCAATTATCGCAATTAAAAACAGTTATTGGTACAATTAAAACGTTCACCAACATTTTATGTGGACGTAATTAAATTTTTCCAGAAAGAGAGACCATCCATCCATTTAGAATGTAAATATTTTTTTTTTTACTTTATACATTGTTTGTACTTTGTTCATGTTTTACTTTTGTTCATGTATTGTATTTTATGTAAATTTTCTTTCTTTTCTTTTGCTCAAACAAACTCAAACGGCTTTCTTCAAAGCCACCGAAGCAATGCAATTGCTGATATGTAATACAATCTATCTAGCAGTAGTATACCTGTGTGCTTTGTTAAACACATCCTCGACAGCACTGAATATGAAACTGAAGAGTGGAGACAGATCAAGATTGGTGTACTTTAATAAAACTGCTGAAAACACAACCTATATTTTTATCAATTTATATCTTGGACCTGCCGTAGTTTGGAACTCTAGCTTCGCCACTGAATATTATTATTGGTAATAGTTTGAACCGAACTACCTTTAATTGAACTACCAAAATTAACACTTTAATTCACTTTACTTAAAAGACACTAATAATTAATCACACTGATTCACTTTATTTCGCTCCGAAGCTTCGCTTGTCTCGCCAAATTCAATACTTCCCCGATCGCGGCATGCAGCGGGTTTAAATACACTTTTACGCCGAAACATCCAGAATATTCCCGTAGATACGCGCGCCAACCGACCAGGCGCAGAAAGTTCGAGTGTGGGCCTCCAGAAAGCTTAATTCTTCTGTTCGATACTAGATGGCGCTGTTGGTCAAAAGTCAAGATTGACATTTTCTAGGAAGCCCTCCTCGCTCTCGTCTCCGACACTAGATGGTGCTAGTGCCGGGTACGACGTCAACTTAGGCGCGCAACAATAGTATCAACTACCCAATTGCATGCACTATCAACGACACCACTAATCTAAGCATTTTGCACCTATAATACAAAAGGTTTTCCGGAAAGTAAGGCAAAATTCTATTAATTGATAGTATCAGGCGTTACTTTGCGGAAATCCATTATAATAAAGATATTAATAGTTATTTTGCAACCATCCGCTCAATTACATGATGTGTCCTACCTAGTTTGAAGAGCACCTCCCGTCCTCCCTCAATTGCGTGCACTAATCCCGTATCCCAGCACCACTATCCCTACTTCCAACACTACTATTCTAGGAAAAACACACCATCGACGATAATACATTGTATTATCGTCGATGGTGTGTCGTTCCTAGAATAGTCGGTCGATGGTGTGTTGTTCCTAGAATAGTCGATCGATGGTGTGTCGTCCCTAAAATAGTCGATCGATGGTGTGTCGTTCCTAGAATAGTCGATCGATGGTGTATCGTTCCTAGAATACATTACGTATAATTATAAAATATATTATTATTTATTATAATAGTGTTGGAAGTAGTGGTGCTGGGATTAGTGCAGACAATTGAGGGAGGGCTGGAGGTGCTCTTCAAACTAGGTAAGACACATCATTTAATTGAGCAGATGGTTGCAAAGTAACTATTAATATCTTTATTAAAATTCTGTTAATTATCATAAGAAATAATGATCACCTTCGTCTTTTTCAGTCTCGAGGGGTTTATCAAAGTAGCCCGTGCGCGGACGTTCGTCGCGTCTGTCGGCACGTCGTTCGCCCGCCACATAGTCACCGATCTCGCCGTAGATAGAGTCCTCATTACGACCCTTTTCCGTCGTTTTGTCCTGGTAACAAAGAGAATTTTACTTTGATTAAAAAGTAGTTTTAATCAATGTATAGTGTTCGCGTAAAAATAAGAAATCATTATGAGAATTTTACTGTATAGAACAATCGATTCTAATTTTAAGTTAATTTAAAATACAGATTGATATACCCTAAGGCTGATGAGTTCGATACCTAAGATTTTAAATATAGTTCTACTGCATTACTTTAATAACGGAATCGATTATATGTCATTACAAAAATAATAAAATATGAGCACGTTATATATAATATTGTTTGGTTTTTAATACACACACTTCTAATCTTTTTTTGTAGCATAGGGTGCACACAGTCCATTTGTAGGTAAGTGGATGCTGTGGCCCATAGACATCTACATTTATCCTGAATTAAGATTAGGCATCCTGCGCAAAGCGGCTCGAATCGTCGATGACCGAGTTCTTTCCGATCGGCTCGATTCACTGGCGCTGCGAAGAGATGTTGCATCTCTTTGCATTTTCTTTCGCATATACCATTGGGAGTGCTCTGAGGAAATTTTCGGATTAATCCCAGCCGCCAAATTTCATGAACGCACTACGCGGCAAACGTCGCGATACCATCTACACCATCTGGATGCTTGGCGGTCCACCACTTTACGTTTCACAAGGAGTTTTCTTCCGCGTACGACCTCTCTGTGGAATAGTTTACCACCGGCGATTTTTTCCGGACCGATACGACCTGAGGACCTTCAAGAAAAGAGCTTACCCCTTTCTAAAGGGCCGGCAATGCACCTGCAATTCCCTTGGTGTTGCGGTTGATCATGGACGGCAGTAGTCACTTAATATCAGATGAGCCGCATGCTCGTTTGCCCTCTTCTATAAAAAAAAAATCTCACCTAGTATTGTTTAAACAAGTTGTATAAACAAGTTGGTCATAGGTACTTACATTGATGTTTTAACATTCCTCAACTCAGCAGAACAAAAATTGCGATTGCATGCAAAACATTTGCCACCATTAATTTATTTATCCTTGGTAGATTAGTACTTTCTGCTTTTACGAATTCGTCTTCCATGATGCCTTTTCAATAAAATTCGTAATAAAACTCAATAATCGTAATGATAACTTGAAAATTTTCAAAATACCACAGCACGTTAGCTAGTTCTATTAATCAGTGATACAGAACAGGCTGGATCAGTGACGTATAAATTATATATGTACTAAAATCATAAATTTTATTGCTACTTTGCTTTGTCTTCCCCATAGAGCCAAATATGTTATGTGTAAGTATATGTATAGTGTATGTACTACACACCATTTATATTGATATTAATCCAGTATGTGTGTGTTAACTGTGTTCGTTAGCACTACTATTTAGCCCACTGGCTAATTACTATTAGTCTATAAGTTATAGTTACGCATAATTCGAGGTTCACACACCGACTCGTCAGTGAAGTCACAAGGTTCCAACGGAAAACCAGCGCTGCCTCTGCAGTATTATTCTGAGTTGGAGACATATTTGATGTCACATTTTATCTTTAAATTCTTTTTTAAAATTTTTTTATTTAATTTTTTTTGTTTCATTATTAATTAACATCATGCATGTTCTGCTTATTAAATAATTTTTAATGCATAAGCAGTCTTACACCTGCTCATGCATATTCTTTGCCCATTGTAATTTATAATTAAATTTATTAAATTGTGTGTAAAGTGTGATTATCAAATAAATGGTTCTTTCTTTCATTATTTCTTTCTTTCTATAGGCTGGATCAGCGACGTCACGACAAGTCTGATATGGCGGACACCGTTTTACAGATTTAAGGCACAGACGAAATAAAAATATTCTTAAAATTGAAATATGTACAAAATTTATAATGCAATTTTATAAACAGAAATCAATATTTCTCGTTTACTTTTTACAAAATCTATCATAAATATATATTTTTTGATTTCATTTTACATGGTGTAAAATACCCTACTGTAAGTTAGGAGCGCCGTTGTTTTGCGATTTTTTTATAGGAGGGGGGCAAACGAGCATACGGCTCGCTTACCTGATGGTAAGTGACTACCGCCGCCCATGAACAACTGCAACACCAGGGATAGAAATAGAAATAGAAACTTTTTTATTCAATGTAGATTATAAAAATACTTATTGAAAGTCACTTTTTTAATTTACCACTGGTTCGCATAAAAACCTCTGTCCTGGGAAGAACCAGCAAGAAACCCAGCGGGACTATTTTTTTTAATAATAGCTTACAATCAAGTTTACAATCAACAACACAAGACAAATTAGAAATAGCTTGGTAGCGATCACCCTTCCCAGGGGTTATTATCATCCATAAATTCCTTAATATCATAATAACCCTTTTTATACAAACTTAGTTTAATAACATTTTTGAACCTTGTGTATGACAAATTTTGTATATTTTCTGGGATTTTGTTGTAAAAGCGTATACATCGCCCCAAGAATGAATTACTGACTCGGTGGAGTCGAGTAACTGGTACTACTAGCTTGTGTCTGCTCCTAGTATTTACAGAATGAATATCACTTATTTTCGCAAAACTACTTTTATTTTTGTGTACGTACATTACATTTTCATAAATGTATTGAGAGGCCAGAGTTAATATATTAATTTCCTTAAATTTTTGTCTCAGTGACTCTTTTGGTTTTAAATTATATATTGCTCTAAGGCCCTCTTCTGTAAAATAAATATAATTTCAGTGTCAGTCGCGTGTCCCCATAGCAAAATACCATACGACATAATGCTATGGAAATAAATAAAGTAAACTATTCTAGCTGTTTCAACACTGGTAAGAGTTCTAATCTTTTTTACAGCATATGCTGCGGAACTAAATCTGCTAGCTAGTTTTGATATATGGGGGAGCCATTGAAGTTTTGCGTCCAATGTGATTCCAAGAAAAATGGTGCTACCAACAAGACTCAGTTCCTCCCCATTTAAAATTACATTAGTATTGACATGTTTAACATTAGGAGTTACGAATTTCATACATTTAGTTTTAGTTCCATTCAAATGCAAATTATTAACATTAAACCAATTGACTAACTTAGCTATAGCATTATTTACTTCGTCGTAATTTAATAACTGTCGTTTTAATTTGAAAATTAGTGAAGTATCATCTGCAAATAATACTATATCATGGTTATCCCCTACTATGTAAGGTAAGTCATTAATATATACAAGAAACAGAAAGGGGCCGAGAATTGAGCCCTGAAGCACGCCCATTTGTACAATCGACCCGGAAGAACTCATACTATTGTTACGAGCTTGAGGTTCGTGACAATAAAAGTTGCCGATAAAATTACCTAAATTAACACTTTAATTTACTTTACACAAATTAAAACTAAAAACACTAATAATTAAACACACTAATTCACTTAATTCCGCTCCGAAGCTTCGCTTGTGTCGCCGAGTTCAACTCTGCCCGATCGCATCTTGCAGCGCCTACTTATATAAATTAGCAAAATATCCAGAATGTTCAAGTAAACACGCGCAAGGTACCGAGAGTTCGAGTTTTAAACTTCAAGAAGTTTAGTTCTTTGGTTCGAGACTAGATGGCGCTAGTGCGCCGATTTTAGCGCGTAACACTGCCCCCTCCTAAGACATGCTCGTCCCGAGCATTATCGGCCCCATAATAACGCGCTAGGCGATCCACATGGACGATCTTAGGAGTCCCTCTTGCGCCTTTCTGTAACGGCTCCGCAATGTCAAGGGCTGTTCTATCCCGTGGTGCACCAACATTGTACAATTTCGGTGCTCCTCTACTACGTGTCTGAGGTCCCCGCACGGCCGCACAACTTGTACATGTACGACACCAATCCTCGACATCGTCACGATAATGGACCCAGTAAAACTGTTCTCGGACCTTCAGTAGAGTTCGTTTAACTCCCAGATGGACTCTTGAACGACCATTATGGCACAGCTGTAGAACATTCGGCACTTTAGCTTTAGGGACAACCATTTGCAAACGACAGCTGTCCCTTCGACCATTGTCCCATTTACGGCACAGGACTCCATCCTGAATCAGCAAGCTGTCCCATTGGGCCCAATAGCTTTTCGTGGTTGAACTCATCGCTGAGACGTCCCTCCACTTAGGCTTGGTAGCACGGGCCTTCATCCATCCCAGAATCGGCTTGATGTCCGGATCTTCCTGCTGTGCATGTCGTAGGCTGTCCTTCCACCCGTTGCTGAGGTGGTCTGTCCTGAGCATCCTCACGGATACCACTTCCTTACTCTCTTGCCTACTATAATGGTTGCAATCTTCAGGACAAGGTCTTCTTGTCAATGCATCTGCGTTGCCGTGAGATTTCCCGCTGCAGTGTCTGATAGTAAAGTCGTATTCCTGCTGCTGCTGGGCGGTGCTGTTAGCCGCACTTCCTTTCTGAGACCGTTCACCGTCCCTTTCTAGGGTTCGCTTAGGGCAGCTGGATCGAAGATGGCCCTTTTCCCCACAGCCATAGCACCTTGGGCTGTATCCTTTGTTGCGGTCGCGAACTGTAGCTGCTGCAATCTCCCTGACGCGATGGGAACGATGATCCTGCCGCACGGCTTCCACTTCCAGTGCATGGGCCAAGGCGTCGTTAAGCGTCTCATGGTGCCCGAGCCTCACAGCAGCTCTGACTTCCAGGTCGCGGATGCCGTCGATGAATGTCTGCACCAGGTTCCCTTCAATGAGCGCAGGTACAGACCGGTATGCTTTTCGCACCAGCTTCTCCACTTCTAGAGCCCACTGCTGCAGGTTTTCGTTGATGCGCTGCACACGATCTTTAAGCTGCGCACGAAAGACGTGTTCCAGGTGAGCGTCACCATATCTCGCCTCCAATGCCTCAAGGAGTTGCTCATAAGTCACTTCCTCACCGAGAGCTTCCAGGACTGTTAAGGCCTGGTCGCGCAGGCCTAGTGTGAGAGCAGTCATGGCCTGACTTTTATTCCAGCCGTTCGCCTTCATAACAGCCTCGAACTGGATTTTGTAGGCTGACCAGGAAGAGGTACCGTCGAACGGTGGCACCTTGAACCCACGTAGCGAAGGTGTTGTAGCTACTACGGGAGCTGTAGCTCCATCTCCAAGTTTGAGTTCGTCCAGTGATTTCTTCTGTCAGCCATTACGTTGTCAACCCGATTGTTTACTTGGTCGATTCGGGTTTCAGCTTTCTCGATTTGGGTTTCAGCTTCCGACAGGCGTTTGTCATGCTGAGCAACCCTATACTTCAACTCCTTTATCTCCTTCCCGAAGGTAGCGTGAAGGTCCTTCATGAGGAGCATCTGTTCCTCCTGTCGGCGGGCCTGTTCCTCTTGTCCGCTCTGCAGCTGCTCTTTCCACTGACGGACCTGTTCCTCCTGTCGGCGAGCCTGCTCCTCCTGTCGGCGAGCCTGCTCCTCCTGTCGGCGAGCCTGCTCCTCCTGTCGGCGAGCCTGCTTCTGCAGCATCACCATCAGGGCGCCTAAATCAGGTGCTGCAGATGCAGGAGCTACTGACGAACCGGCCTCCGTTGCCGGCGGCTGGCCCTCCGACGTCTGCGGCGTTGCACCACCAAATCTTCTCTGGTCCGTCTCATGCTGGCGTTGACTGCGGGTACGAACACCCTCCGTTTCCTCCTTAGGTAAAATCGGCATGATTTTATCCCACTTCTGACATCAATCGTTACGAGCTTGAGGTTCGTGACAATAAAAGTTGCCGATAAAATTACCTAAATTAACACTTTAATTTACTTTACACAAATTAAAACTAAAAACACTAATAATTAAACACACTAATTCACTTAATTCCGCTCCGAAGCTTCGCTTGTGTCGCCGAGTTCAACTCTGCCCGATCGCATCTTGCAGCGCCTACTTATATAAATTAGCAAAATATCCAGAATGTTCAAGTAAACACGCGCAAGGTACCGAGAGTTCGAGTTTTAAACTTCAAGAAGTTTAGTTCTTTGGTTCGAGACTAGATGGCGCTAGTGCGCCGATTTTAGCGCGTAACACTATTAATAACAACTTTTTGTGTTCTGTCACTTAAATATGAAATAATTAATTTAAGAGCATCGTTTCTTACACCGCAGTGTTGAAGTTTCCATTAATATGTTTCATGGTGAACACAATCAAAGGCTTTGGATAGGTCACAGAACACACCCAAAGCATCCTGTGAATTCTCCCATGCATTAAATATATATTTAATCAGCTCAAGCACAGCACACCCCTTGTGAAACCGAATTGATTTTTATGAAGTAATTTATTAACATTAAAAAAAAATTAACAATTGATCAAGAATAATTTTTTCAAAAATTTTACTAAGTGTTGGCAGTACAGAAATAGGTCTAAAATTAGCGGGGTCCAATGTACTACCAGATTTAAATAAAGGTATTACTTTACTATGCTTCATTAAATCAGGAAACACACCAGATTTGATACTACTATTAAAAATAATAGATAGTTGAGGTGCGATTGTATCTATTATACACGCAATAACTTCAACAGAAATCCCCCACAGATCGGCGGTTCTCTTAATATCAATAGTCTTAAAATATTTTACAATATCTTTTGATGAAACTTTACGAAATGTAAAATTCTTTGTACACACATTTACATTTTGTTTAAGTAATGATTCGGCGACGGTAGGAGAAGAATTCAGTGACTTAGTGGTTAACATCTGAATATCAGTAAAATATTTCTCAAAAACCATTGCAACGTCCTGATCTGATTTAGTTAATTTATTGTTAAAACTTAACAGAGGAATTGCAGATGCGTTGCCAGCGATTTTAAAAGGAGTAGGCTCTTTTCTTGAAGGTCCCTAAGTCGTACCAGTCCGGAAATATCTCTGGTGGTTGTCGATTACACAAGTTGTGCAAGGAATAAAAACTCCGCTACCATGTTAAGGGGAAGGGGGGGGGGGTTGGCCTCCGGCCACCTGCACTTACCAGACGAAACGCAGAAGCAGAGCTTCTACTTCACGCTGGTCTTCTGCGATAGTTTCGTTACGTACGTATTCACACAGTAGTGTTCAAGGCACAACCACACCTTGATAGTTTTTTACTACATATTATTATATATTATATAATATATTACTTATTATAGGCCAGTGCTTAACCACAATACCTGTTATATAAATTTTTCTTTTTTTCCTTTTTATATGTTCGGGTGACAAAAGAGCACAGAGCCCACCTGATGGTAAGTGGTTGCTGTGACCCATAGACATCTGCATCTATCCTCAATTACGAACCAAAATGCAGATGCGTTGTCATCCGTGAGGACTAAGATGGAATGCCTCGTTTCCAGTAAAAAGGGTCTCCGGTTCTCTACACTCACCATACGAAACATAGCAGCATTAAGCTACTATTTCACGCTGGTATTCTGTGAGAGCGTAGTCCTTCCCCGGTCGAGCCGACCCATTCGTGCTACAACTACACTACAACTGCAGCATGGCTCTACCACGTAAAAATGCTGACGAAAAATACCAATTACCTTCGTTTTTTTCAATTTTCTATGTCTTCCATGACGCAAATAAGAGAATATCTGCGCCAATTTGTCCAGTACGACATCGTTAGCAGCGGCTGCAGAACTCCTCTCGTCCAACTCGGGCACATCGGCCTTACTGCGAGTTAGAGTGGTCGGGATATCGCTGTCTATTGTCCCCTCTTCCTCCAATTCGACTACGTACGCCATACGACCCGGCGCGAATAACTCATTGCGGGTCACTTTCTTGTTCCTGACAAATTAATTTCAACGTAAATAAAACCAATATTGTGGTGGATCAAACTATAAGTAGACCCTATGCAATCTATGCAAGCTTTGTGTTTAAATCTTTTGTGGTTTTAGCGTTGCGTGCCAAAATCAGTATTATACTTATGTTGCATCAAAAATGGTCGGCTCGATCGAAGAACCACGCTCTCACAGAATACCAGCGTAAAATATACTACAAATTAATGCCGCTGTAATGGCGAGAGTAGAGACCTGGACTCTTAACAAGAAATGGGGCATTCCATTTTAGCCCTCAGGCATGAAAACTCATCAGTATTTTGATGCTTAATCGACGATAGATGTAGAAGTCTATGGTCACAGCATGCACTGGACGAGCAAATAGTCTACCTGAAGGTAAGTGGACTTCTACATTTATCCTCGATTAAGTATCAAAATGCAGATGCATTGTCACCCCTGAGGACTAAGTACTACTGTACTACTGGTATTGTGTGAGGGCGTGATCCAACCCCAGTCGAGTAAACTCATTCATGCTACAACCAATATCATAGCTGCAGCGTGGCTCTACCACGTAAATTTATTAGCGTAAGTTAAACTTAAATTAACATCCAACATCTCCATAGTGCAGTTGTTAAACATTTGGTTGCAACATTGCTGGGTGCACAGACGTGAGTTCGAATCTCACCCGAAAAAAAATTGTAATGCTTACAAATAATTGTTTCTAGTCGGGATTTTCTCATGCTCCTTTATTTATATAAAAAACGAATGTTTTATATGATAAAAAGGAATATTGTTCGAATGTTATATACTTATTACCTTTGTATGAACACTTCAGAACTTTTTAAACCTATGATCTTTTTCAAATCTATAAATAGAATAATAATAAAATAAAATAAACAAGAAAGAAGTATAACGAGCTAGAGTATCAAGATTGTAAAAATTTTCCTTCAATTCAAATAATATAGCTGGGGGTTGGATTACAATTACTTGCCACACAAACAAATTTACGTAGAACCTGATAGTAAATTGAACTTGGCTGACTTCAAACAAAGATGGTTACAAATGTTGAAAAATGGTCACCTTTTTTGTTTTTTTTTTTAAATGGTATGTGGTTGCTGTGGCCCATAGACATCTGCATCTATCCTCGATTACAAATCAAAATGCAGATGCGTTGTCAGCCTTGAGGACTAAGATGGAATGCCTCTTTTCCATTAAAAAGGGTCTCCGGTTCTCTACACTCACCATACGAAATACAGCAGCGTTGAGCTGCTATTTCACGCTGGTATTCTGTGAGAGTGTGGTCCTTCCCCGGTCGAGCCGACCCATTTGTCCTACTATACAATTAATATAGCTGCAGCATAGCTCTACGCTCTTCAGTTCGGAACACAGCAATGCAAGCACTGCTATTGATATTGATATCCTTTCCAGGTGGACTATCTTCCGGAGAGACATAGACGAGATATCATGCCACAGCAATAGGCAAGTAATTTTTAAACAAGATTCAGAAAATTGCTTTTTACGCAAAATAAACCCTACTTATAAATTTGAAATAATAAATAAAACTTACTTCTGTTCCATAATCATATTGTAAATATTTTTTCCCATAGTTGTTTTAAATTGCATTTCTTCCTCCTAAAAAGTAAAAAAAAAAAACGTAAAATACATTTCTTAGAAATTCAAGTAGTACAAGAATTCATTGCATATCAGTTTAAAAATGGAAAAGATAAACAATTTGTGTTTTATATCAATCCATCCATTCATAACAGCCTATTTGCTGTCCACTGCTAAGGATGGGCCTCCATCTTTGAGTATTCAACCAACTGGAGAGGTCATGCGCCTTAAATCCTAAACAAAAAAGTTTATCAATGTCAAGGGGGCGCAAGAAAAACACACTACTATATACTTCACCACAAATCCAAAATTGAATCGCGTCACTATACACACACACTACAGAATTTATATTTGTGTTCATTGTATTTACGCACATGTACTCGCTGAGTGACTTTGAGCTTCCTCATACAACCGTGAAGGGTTTTTTTAGTGTTATACAAAATTATGAATTTATTAGTAAATATAATATAATTATGGCCAGTTTTTTAAAAGCCTGTTCAAACTCAGATTTTAATTCAAATTTAATCAAAAATTTAGCTATGGATACTTTCCACGTTATGTTTATACCGAGCAATAAATGTGTCAGTATCTTCACCGAAATTATCGGATATATAATATTAAACTCGTAGAGAAGACATAGCCATAATGCCTTTGGCTGCTAGCATGGTCTTTTATCAACTGCTTAAGAGGATTGTGAAGTGCCGATACGCGGCATGAGTAGGTTTTTTCAAAAATGTTATCTGTTTCACATCGCTCACCCCGTATCGCTGTTGTGCAATAGAGAGTTGCAAATATTGGAAGTTATTGCCTACCTTTTATTTCTAAAATATTTTTTCGAGCAATAACTTTTTTACTCCGCCAAACCCCCGCAAAATTATCACATTTCATAAAGATGAAATGGGACAATTTTGGTCTCATTAGATTCAGTATACCTTAATTTAGGTCTGTACGTTTTTTAGTAATTCAGTTTAGTTTAATTTAAAAAAAATAAAAACACTCGAGGAAGTTTTTAAGTCACAAATATACAGTCAGGTCATAAGTATTGTCACACAGTAAAAACTTTTCTTTTAGAATGCTGGCCACAAAAAGTTTATTGAATTCGAATTTCGAATTGTTCATGAAAATAAAACTGTATACTTTTTAGAACTTTACTCATTTTTAAAGATGGGGTGGAAAAGCTTAAAGAAGACCGTATTGCAGTTATTGCGTTGCATCGTTGCAGTTACGCGCCAATTCAAATTTTTGACATACTGAAAAATTTGAATATAACCAAAAGATTCATTTATCGTACCATCAAACGATACATTGAAGACTCTAGTGTAGATGACAGGTCAAGAAGTGGTCGCCCTCGGTCTGTTAGGACTACAGCAGTGATAAAAGCTGTGAAGGCGCGAATTCAAAGAAATCCCAAACGTAAACAGAAACTGTTGGCCCTTCAGATGGGGTTAAGCAGAACCACGGTGAAAAGGGTGTTAAATGAAGACTTAGGGCTTCGGGCATATCGAAGAAAAACAGGACATCGTTTGAATGCTCGTCTAATGGACCTGAGACTGAAGAGATGCCGCGCTTTGTTGAAGCGGTACGCGGGAAAAAATATCGGGAAATTCTTTTTTCGGATGTAAAAATCTTTACCGTAGAAGAGAGCTACAACAAACAAAATGATAAGGTGTACGCACACGGTAGTGAAGAAGCGAGCAACCGTATTCCGCGTGTCCAACGAGGTTATTTTCCATCCTCGCTCATGGTATGGTTGGGAGTTTCTTATTGGGGCTTAACAGAGATACATTTTTGCGAGAAAGGTGTAAAAGCAAATGGAGTTGTGTATCAAAATACAGTCCTGACGAACCTTGTGGAACCTGTTTCTCATACCATGTTCAATAACAGGCACTGGGTATTCCAACAAGATTCGGCGCCAGCTCATAGAGCGAAGAGCACACAAGACTGGCTGGCGGCGCGTGAAATCGACTTCATCCGGCACGAAGACTGACCCTCCTCCAGTCCAGATTTGAATCCGTTAGATTACAAGATATGGCAACACTTGGAGGAAAAGACGTGCTCAAAGCCTCATCCCAATTTGGAGTCACTCAAGACATCCTTGATTAAGGCAGCCGCCGATATTGACATGGACCTCGTTCGTGCTGCGATAGACGACTGGCCGCGCAGATTGAAGGCCTGCATTCAAAATCACGGAGGTCATTTTGAAAAAACTTTAGTGTCATAAGAATCTATGTTTTGTTAAGTTCATTTTGGTATATAAATGGTTACATAATGAATAAACTTGTTTCAATTATTTTATATTAAACCTGTGACAGAATTTATGACCTGACTAGGTAGATATTTAGATGCTAATAACTTTAATCGGACCTAGTTTTTCATTATATCTGCAACATTTTCAAAAATTATGAAAATTAGACTATGTTAACGGGAGGAAAACCGTTATCGATTTTTGTATGAAAATTTACAGCTTCAAAATCCTCTTAATTTTCATTCCATCCATGACTAAGGTACAATAAAAACGTTTTTTTTAGTTTAATTTTCTTTGGTGTACTGTCTGTTCGCTTAGATACGGTCGTTTTTGTGCCGCACCGTCTCAGCACGTACCGTATTTTGTCAAAGGTGCGACATTAAAGTTCGTACCGTAAAGCATCCGAAACGTCGGGAATCAAAAGTCAAAATTTAAAACAATAAAATCCGTAAAATTAGTTTAATTTAATGTGTAGTGTTCGCGTAAATTTAAGAAGTCATATTTATATTCTTGTCGAAATTATAAAACATTTTCAAGAAGAATAATATTGGTGTCAAGGATAATAATAAAACTATTTAATCTATTAATATAATTACAGCTATACATTACCTCCCACAAGTTTAAGGTTGGTACAGCAGTATTGGCTAAACATTTTTATTGATAACTTGGGGTATGAAATATGATTAACAAAATCTCCTATGCAGATGATTTACTGATGACTCCTGGCATTCTGTTCGTAGATCTGCTGAAGAAGGCCTTGCTAGGATCGCTAAGTAGCTGAACACGAACCTACTTACTTTAAATACTATGATAACTATAGTACGTTTCTAGGGCAGGCGGAAAAAAGTACATTGACCTTTGACGATGTCATCGGGATAGGCAATCTTTTTTGTTTAGGTTCATTTTTTAATCCTTTTATCATTACATACATCATCAGAGTGAAAAGCAAGGGTGCCGAGTGCGAAGTTCTTTACAGGCCCTATGTCTATTATTATATAATAAAGAAAGAAGATTATCCTGTACCTAAATGAATTAAAAATCAAATTAATATTAATTTAAGTTTATTATTTATAAATCATGAGTTATTACAATTTTCATTATTACGTTAATAGTAGGTAAGTACTTTAATAAGTAGGTAGGTAGGTAGGTTAAAAGACGAACTTTAATGCTAAGCATTCTTCAGAAATCCGAGGAACATACTACTCGAAAATTTCCATCTGATTGTGTTGGGAAGAAAAAGTAAAATATAGAAGTGTCGTTGTGTTTTTGGCTATTTCTTATTCTGAGAGCTGTTGAATTACCTTTTTTTTGTTTATTATTTCTGTTGGTGTTGGTTTTAGTAGTTATAAATCCGTAAGTGTTTAGTAATTGTGCCGTTTTATATGTAATTAGTTAGAATAAAATGGAGGAAGATCCTCCCGATCCCGACGGGGTTCCACGTGACTCCCATACTGGTACGAAAAAAAAATAATATTCCTATCGAAATTGATCAGTCGAAGCGTAAAAGATTGCAAGCAACCAATAACTCAGGTCATCCTCAGAAAAGATTAATTACAGATCCATCTCAACCTGTTCCATCTATTCAGACCTCTTATACCCACCCTGAATACATAGAAAAAAAAACATAAATATTCTAATAACGACAATGCGCCGTTTATTGTACATGTAAGTAAGAGAGTAGATGATTTATCAACTGGAGTAGTTTTAAAACCGATAAAGTTTGGTCATTTTCTCTACCATAATAATATTAAAAATGTTGTAAGTGATGGTGTTAAGCGAGTAGGACGCAATAGAATTTCAGTCGAGTTTAAAAGTGCAGCTGATGCAAATTGTTTTATTGAGAACCCAGCCCTTGCAGGTGCTAAATATGATACTGTAATCCCTTCTTATAATGTCACACGCATGGGAATAGTGAGGCAGGTCCCTGTAGAATGGACATTAGAGGAACTCATCTCATCAATCGAGGTCCCAGCTGGTTTTGGCTCAATTATTAAAGCTCGCCGATTTAATAGAAAGTCAGTTAATGAAAACCAAAGCACTGTGTGGATTCCCTCTCAAACAGTTGTTTTGACTTTTTCCGGTCAGAAACTTCCTTCTAACATTTATTGTTTTTTTACCTCAATGCCTGTTGAGCCCTACATTTTACCTCTTATTCAATGTCACAAATGTTGTCGTTTTGGGCATGTAACCTCACAGTGTAGGTCATCTTCCCGGTGTTTTGTGTGTGCTCAAAATCATGAAGGAATATCATGCACAAGACAGTCTCCCACGTGCTTATTTTGTTCAGGATTTCACACAGCTAAAGATCCTTCCTGCCCTGAACACTCTAGGCAGAGATCTATCAAACTTACCATGTCACAGGAAAATATTTCCTATCTAGAAGCATCTGCCCGTTTCCCTTATGTCCGGAGATCTTATGCAGATGCTGCTAGAATCCTTCCTTCGTATGATCATCAGAGTCCCTATCCTATTACAAATTCCCCTTTACCTTCAGTTGTCCCCTCACAATCTCATTCTTACAGGAAGACTACTTTTACTCCAAGACTTCCGCCAAATCCAGCATCAAGTCATGGATATGATAAATCTGCCCACGAGGCAATAATAGATACCCCTTCTTCTTCAACTACTAATGGTTGTGCTTTAATAGGGCGGAGTATTTCCCCTAATGACAATCTCTGTGAGTTAATGATCTCCATGCTTATAAGTATGCTTTCCCGTTTCAGCGATATGGATCTCCCACTTGCCCTCCGCCAAAAACTTACTGAGCTCATCTCAT